ATGAATACAGGATCATTGACTTGATAACGGTTGATGCTCAAGGTCAAAAACGGGCAGCTGTCCATCAGGGCAAATAGCTGCGAGGAAGCCAATCATGATGGATTAGGAAGCTTCATGACCTCCGGAATCAAAGTCAAATTGCAGTTTAAGGGCATACGCGCACACGCTGGCAAAGTGGAAGGAGAAACGAGTCAAATATCCCGTTTGTGACTAAAACGCCGCCTATCAAAACAAAGTACAGTCTCGACTGGATGTCAGAAATACAAGTCCGAAAATTCAACATTGTTCTTTGTTCTTACCGTACGGGCTCGCTCTTCTCCTTGTTTGCGCCTTGAGCCCGCCTTCATCCTAACGGCCATGTTCCGCTGTGGCGCCTCACATTGGCACCGTCTTAATTTATCAGCCGCTCTCGCTATAAGGTGATATTGTACTGCGTTTTTCATCTTTGCCGCCGACATCATTGGGAATGGCCGGTCCCGTTGGAAAGAGCCTTCATCATCTCAAGTGCCACGGCGACCCCCGAGCCCAGACAATCCCACGGCCTCGTAATTAATGAGCGGCCCCATAATGATTTCATGCACACGTGCTACTGACTGATGAAATGTTTCGGGGATGCGTTACTGGGTCACTATGACGACAGGGGCATCTCATCGATGATTGAATGTTCTCGCTCTCATGAAGAGGCTGTGCGGTGACACGTGTCCAAGCAGGTGTGGCCGAGCCATTAATGACCGGCTCATCAAAACGGAATTAGACGCTTGATTGCTGTCCCCGTTAAGGACTGATTTGGCTTATTTGCTCTGGCGCAAAGGAAAAACGCATCTTCTGTCGCCATCAAGATCCACATTGGCAACTGGAGTGATGTTGTTTCTCCAACACACCCTGACCGTGTACCTTATTAGAGTCAGATTGATTCCCGCTCAGTCAAGATATCGTACGCGCGGTCTCCTATGAAGTAGCTGAAAGCGATACTTGAGTACAGGTATCTTAACCCCTGCGATGCGTTCCAGTCAAAAAATTGAAAAATTGTATCTGAAAGGTGGAATTCATTTGTTCCGATTGAACCAAAGATTCAGTCAAAGCTATTTCAGTTGACACACTTTGAAATGTTTTTATACGAATTACGACTTGAAGCTAAACATAATGAAAAATGAAACATGATCCTGTTCAGGACTAATTCACGCCAATTTCTTCCCGCCCGGGTGCTGTTTGAGGCCTGTCATAACCAGACTCAAAATGCCACAATGCTCCGAGTTAATGTTCAATGCTTTTAAGTGCTCATCACTTTTATTGAAAAAGCTCTTACCTTCTTAGTCAGCATGTGTTGAAGGAGGTTAATCAAAATTGAGCGGGGGGGATGGGGGGCTAGTGTGAAGAGGTGCGGACGGTGGGCCGGTTCGGAATTATTGTCGCAATGGAAAGGGAAGGTGTGAAAGGTGATTTCTCGCTCTGCCGGGACTTTTCGTCTCCTTTCTCCCGTCGATTCCCCGAGGCTCATTCACTTCAGTCCAGCAAATGCTTCACAAACCAATTCTGCAGTGACATTCTTAAAAGGCCAGTCTCGCTTGTAAAAGAATCGAGAAGTGTCCGACCGTTCGAGAACGGCAACCTACTTTCGTCTTGGGATGAGTGCGGTCTGGAAAACAACATGAACGATGACCTCAATCGCTATCCATTCGGTGCAGCGGGATGACTTTCAATTCGTTCTAATTGAAATCAACATTTCCATCGATCCTCATGTCAAGTTTTTCGAACACAATGAACAGATTTGAGCAACTCCAAAGATGTTCGGGCTGACCCGACGGGATGTGGTTTGCCTGCCGCGCTCAAGTCACGTCTTGCCGTCGCATGCAAATGATGCGTCTGTGAGTGCGGCCTGAGGGATTTATCATCAGCAACAGATTTCGGGACGCGGCGCTTATCAGCCATTGCTTTGCCGTGACAACGAGTCATCTTTGTGACAAGTTTTTCCGTTTGATGTGATGCATCCAGTGATTTCTCTTTGTGTCGTTGTTGATTTTGAGAGAAAGTTGACCTGCTTGAGTAAACACGCGGCTGCAAAAAATTGCATGCGTCGGGAGGCGTTCCCCCTGAGGTTTGTGATTCTTCAAAATTTGTGCATGATCAAAAAACACAGCGGAGCTTTATCCTGTAGTTGCTACACAGACAGCTCAAGACCAAAGACGCTTTCCATGTGAATTAACATAGCAAAGAAGTTACAGTGATTTGTTTTTCAATGCGCGTAAAACAATTAATATTTCACAAGTGCGCATGTAGATTTTCCGTCTCTGCATGTTCTATTTCAAGTGTATGCAAATGACCCTTCCGACGATTGACACCAAAGGTCGCTCATTAATTTCTCTTGGGTGTCAAATGCACTGTGGCGGCACCCTACGCTTGTCCTTATGTCGTATGTGCAACGGAGGACTTGTGAGAGCGATTAGGAAGCTCGCCGAAACTTGTGCTGTTGCCAGAAACAATTTGGGGAGTAAAAAAGTTCTGCGGAATGTACGTCGGATCCGTGTCACACGGCAAACCGGACAAATAGGAGAGTGCAAACGCAAGGTCCAATCAGTGAAGCTGTTCGCCAAGCATTTCTTCGACATCGACCGCGTCTGCTTTTTTCCCGATCCTTTTACCCCGCCTCTCACAGTTCAGTCTTGTGACTTCAGTCGACTTCTGGTTTCGGGGAGGACACTCATGAATGTGAGTGAAGATAGGATGTGTGTGTGTGCGTTTTGCTCCGTCGGTCATCTGGAGTACACATGCATCACTTTTGTTTGTTTAGTTTTCAAACTATCGGGACATAGCATTTGCCTGCATCTTTCTGGAGAGATTTCCTATCTTAAAAAAAAAAAAAAAGAAGAAAAGAAAAACAGTAAGAGCGGGAGAATCAACTGCTTGACTTCAGTCGGCTCATGCTTTAACCGTCACTGTTTTTGGTGACCTGCGGTATTTTATTTCAGCCGCCATACATGGCCGAGGGCATCACTGAAAAGTAGACAGTCATTCCGGCAAAATAAAGAAGCACACGGCATTACCGCTGTCATTGTCTTCACCGTGCTCAACGAGGGCGACAGTCATGAGTCTGAATATTGCAAATTAGACACCCGACATTGACACTGAATCAATTAAGAATTCCTCTCAAATCTCCTAAACATGAGATTATCCATGACGTCTTTTTTCCACATGAGTTGCGTATAAAAGTCTCAGACAACAACAACAACAACCTCCCACTGGAAGTTCATCGTTGCCGTAATCAACTTTTTTTTAGTTCTCTGGCATCACTGTCATGAGATGACTGATGGCTGGTAATTAGAATGCCTGCCATATTGACGAACCCATTTGTGCATCTTGTGGTGAGGCGGGGGGTGGGTGGGGGGGAGCATTGTTTTTCTGACAGTGCAGTGGAAGACTCGTGACATGACAAACAAGCAGTGGAGAGTAAAAAAAAGGAAGCGGGCTAAAGTCAACTATATTCACGGTTCGTACTGTCTCTGACGCGTTGTTTTGGGGGTTTCCATTTTTTGTCCAAATTTCTCTTTTTTTTTTCTTTTTTTTTTTTTTTTTAAACACACTGATGTCTCATTACAGTGTAGGTTTTCTTTTTTTTAATCTTCTTGTGTGTAATTATGTTGTTTATTTCTGGCTCGTGTCTGAGTCTCGCTCCTTTTTGTAGACTGCACACATTTGCTTCTCATTAGTTAATAGTTTGCCGCTTAAGTGTGGGTTTTCACTTTGATTTTAAGCCGGTCCCCTTGTGTATTCAATTCGTTGCTTGACTTGCCTGGGATTTTCTCTTCATTTTTCCTACCACCCATGCCTCTTTAGTTAAGGGCCTCCTGTGTATAGCTGCTCCCGTTATGTGTCGATGGTTTGTTGTCGACGCTTTGCAAGCGGGCAGGGACCCTGTATTTCAACCTTCTTTGGATTGGAGCCGTTTTATTTGGATTCACACCCTTCAGAGAATTGTTTCCTGGACGTGGGTATGCTGCCTCGGAGTGTGGAAGCTTTGCTTTATTTCTTTTCAAAGAAGGGGACAACTTTATATGTTGTCAAAGACACAGTAAATTACTCGGTACAACAAGAGGTGGTGCCAAATATTGTTACTTGTCTACTCACGTACTCACAAACCTATCGATCTATCGATCCATCAGCAAGCTCTCTCTCTCTCTCTCTCTCTCTCTCGCTCTCTCTCTCACAGTCAGTTGATCATTTTTTTAAAATATATACTTTTTAATGGGATGGGAATGAGAATATTTCCGAGTGGTATAAACTGTCTGTGTGGATGTAACTCAACATCCAATAGCTAATGTTGACTCAGGTGTGACGGAGGAGGGAGATATCGGGCAGGAAAGAATTTTATTGCTCGTCGAGAATTCAAAACCACTTCTATTCAAATGCATTTTTGATTTGTTGTCATCCGCTGTTTGTCTGTTAACGTTTGGGAGCTTGTGATGGAACCCTTTTTCTTTACGCACCGTTTCAAATTGGAGTGAATAAGTGTACCTAATGAAATGTCCTACTGATAAACAGCACGAAATGGGAGGCTGAAAAAAAAAATTGAAGACGGCGTGTTGTGTGTGTGTGTGTGTGTGTGTGTGTGTGTGTGTGTGTGTGTGTGTGTGTGTGTGTGTGTGTGTGTGTGTGTGTGTGTGTGTGATGTGTGTGTGTGTGTGTGTGTGTGTGTGTGTGTGTGTGTGTGTGTAAGGGGGGGGGCGTTCTAACTGGCTACCACGGCTTCGAGAAGGAGGGCGGCACTGTGTGGCTGGAAGCGGAGATATTTGAGGGAGAGAGTTAAAGAGGGAGGGAGTTAAAGGGAGGCAAGTTCAGCACCGCGGACAGCGCACCGGACCGCCGCTATCAGCTGCGCACTGACACGCTTCCACGAAGCAGTGGAGCTTGTGGCGTCTCACTCCTCCGTGTCCTCGTCTCTTTCTCCTTTGAGCATCCCCGTGTGGGTTTTATTCTAAAGTGGAGAGAGAAACAGTGAGGCAGAG